TAATGCAAAAGATGAGGTTAGGTTGAAGAGTTGGGATGTAGCCGGGTTGTTGACATTAATGGAGATGTTAAAATCTCCAAGAATGATAGTGGGTAGTTCAGAGGAGAGAAAGTAGGGTAGCCAGGCAGAGAAATCATCAAGAAAGCGGGACACCGGTCCAGGAGGCCGATAGATCACTGCAATCCTCAGAGAAATGGGAGAAAACAGCCGAATGCAGTGAGTCTCGAAAGAAGAGAAGCATAGAGAGGGAGGGTTAGGGAGGACTTGAAAAGTGCTCAGTGGGGATAGAAGAAAACCAACCCCTCCTCCTTTCTGACCACTGGGTCTAGGTGAGTGGGTCCAGAGAAGGCCTTCATAGGAAAGTGCTGCAGGAGAAGAAGAATCTGCTGCTTGAAGCCAGGTTTCTGTAATTGCTAGTAGGTTAAGGGAGCGGGAGACTAAAAGGTCATGGACAGAGGTGAGCTTACTACAGACAGAGATATATACAGGTGAAACTTGAAAAATTAGAATATCGTGCAAAAGTTCATTAATTTCAGTAATGCAACTTAAAAGGTGAAACTAATATATGAGATAGACTCATTACATGCAAAGCAAGATAGTTCAAGCCGTGATTTGTCATAATTGTGTTGATTATGGCTTACATCTCATGAAAACCCCAAATCCACAATCTCAGAAAATTAGAATATTACTCAATCAATAAAACAAGGATTGTACATAGAACAATATCAAACCTCTGAAAAGTAGAAGCATGCATATGTACTCAGTACTTGGTTTGGGCCCCTTTTGCAGCAATTACTGCCTCAATGTGGTTGGCATGGAAGCTATCAGCATGTGGCACTGCTGAGGTGTTATGGAAGACCAGGATGCTTCAATAGCGGCCTTCAGCTCTTCTGCATTGTTCAGTCTAATGTCTCTCATCTTGCTCTTGGCAATACCCCATAGATTCTCTATGGCAGGCATGTCCAAAGTCCGGCCCGCGGGCCATTTATGGCCCGGGGGTCGGTTTAATACGGCCCTCCAACAGCCCTCCCTGCTCTGTGTAATGTGGCCCTCCCACGGCCCTCCCTTCTATGACAGACAGTCTTCTGCTTGAGAACAGAGGGCAGTGCGCATGCCTGACTGCGGCGCGTTCTCCCTGGTCTGTGTAAATGCGGCTGTCGCCGGCCCTCCCTTCTGTGGCAGACAGTCTTCTGCTTGAGAGCAGTGCGTATGCGTGACTGCGCCGCGCTGGGAGCAACAGAGGGCGGTGACGTCAGGGCTGGGCTTCCAGCGTGAAGTGTGTTTCTCTTCCCCTCCCGGCTGCCGAGCAGAGACTTCAGCTCCAGCTACCTTTTTCACCCTTCACATTAGTGCAGGTAAGTTTTTTTAAAATTTATTTTCAATACATTGTGAAAACTCAGCTGTCAGTTGATCTTAATGTTATGAAATGAAAAGTATGTCGTTTGCAATTAACTTGGCATAAAATAATTTATTTGCATTTAATTGTAATGGTTCAAAGAATGTTCGGAAAAATGTTCGACCCTCCACCATGTTCACTTCATCCAATCTGGCCCTCTTTGAAAAAAGTTTGGACACCCCTGCTCTATGGGGTTCAGGTCAGGCGAGTTTGCTGGCCAATCAAGCACAGTAATCCCACGGTCATTGCACCAGGTTTTGGTGCTTTTGGCAGTGTGGGCAGGTACAAAGTCCTGCTGGAAAATGAAGTCAGCATCCCCCATAAATTAAATGGCAATCCGCCTGAACCCGGAGATTTATTACTGGGGGTGCCTGCCAAAGCTTCAGATAACACCTCAACAGTAATTGGCATCTGCAGTTCTCTCTGGTCAGTCTTTGATAAAACAGGAAAAGAGCAGGTGTCTAGAAACTGCAAAAGTTCAGAATGGGTGGCTACAGATTTAGAAGCATACAGATCGTCGTAAAAGTGATGAAAAACTCCCAGGATTTCGGCATGACTCGTGCAGATCACTCCATCAGAATCCTCAATCTTGTCTATAGTGGACACCCCTTGTTGTGAGTTCGCCACAAGAGCAAGAAGGTGCCCCATACTTTCCCCCTGCTGAAAATATTTTTGTTGCAAAAAATATCGCTTCTTATCTGCCACTAGAGTAAGCACTGATTCATAAAGGGCTTGGGCCTCTTTCCAGGAGGTGCAGTTACAGAGGCTTGGGTCTTGGATCATCTGAACCTCCTGCTGTTGAACATCTTACTGTACCTTTTCCTCCCACTCCCTGGATCTACGCTTAACTGCTGAAATCTCCCAGATGATCAAGCCCCGCAGGAAGGCCTTCATCGCATCCCAAACCATTCCTGGCATTGACAATCATTCACTCCAGTGCAGAAAGTCTGACAACTCCCCCGGAATCAACTTAGACTCCGGAAACAGTGTCAACCAAAATGGGTTCCCCTTCCACAGCGGACGAGAGCTGGTATAACACACCTGTAGCTTGACCCAGAAAGGGGCATGGACAGACAGAGCCCTGGGTTCATACGCAGCATCAAAACACATATGGCAGGATAGTCATGTTCCCAAGGCCCAAATCTATGCATGAAAGCCCATCATGAGCAGAAAAACATGAATAACATTTTGGTGTTGGATACTTCATCCACCACACATCTCGGAGGTCCAGTTTCACCAATAAGTTAGCAAATGGGGTAGGCTGAGAGGATAATTGTTTGCCCCTACCGCCCAAGGGCAATCTATCCAAGCTAGGGAATAAGCAAGTGTTATAATTAGAGATGAGCGAATTATTCAAAAATTCGATTCGGCTGATTCGCCGAATTTGCGGGAGAAAATTCGATTCGATGCGAATTTATCTTATTTAAAGGGTTTCTAGGCTTCAGAGAGCCTTTATATTAGTGCAGAACACTGTACCTTTAATTTAAATGCCCTTGGAGTCTGCTGGGGAAGAGAAATAATACTGTCAGTCAGTATGACATGCAGATGAGTGCCGTCGATCTTAGAATCACCGCACACTTCACTCATTTGGGCAGTCACGGGGGAAGAGGAAGAAGAAGAAGAGGAAGAAGAAGAGGAAGAAGAGGAAGAAGAAGAAGAAGAAGAGAAGAGGAAGAGGAAGAAGAAGAAGAAGAAGAAGAAGAAGAACTATTCCAGTACAGCAAAAAGTGTATCTGCAGAGAGCTCCGCTATTTCTGACAGTTCTCTGACAGTTCCTTCACATTTACAGCGGTTGAAACATTGTATCTATTTATTTCCGAATAAAAACATCTGTATCCTAAATGGAAACAAATAGATACAATGTTTCAACCGCTGTAAATGAACTGTCAGAAATAGCGGAGCTCTCTGCAGTGACACTTTTGCCGGCTGATCGGGAAAAATTCGATTCGTGCACCCGAAGTTGGCTAAAATTCGGATTCGATGCGAATCAAATTTTTCCCGATATTCGAAACGAATTCCACTTCGCCTGGTTCGATTCGCTCATCTCTAGTTATAATCACCCAACACCAATAGGGGAACATCAGGATGATTGGCCATAAATTGAGCTAGACGTTTAATGACCTCTGAAGAGTAGGGCAGAGGGATATATACTGTAGCCACTATGCAGCAAAACCCATTCAAAGTACACTGTAGGAAAATATAACTGCCCTCCGCATCAATCCACTACTGCACATGAACAAATTGAATATAGTTAGAGATGAGAATACAACACCTCTCAAAAATGTGGAGTGGAAGGAATGATATTGTATGGGAAATAAACAAGAGTGGAGGGTACTGACAGTGTCAGATTTCAAATGAGTTTCCTGCAAACATACTACAGATGGTTTTAAATGTTTGAGTACATGGAAGACAGCACCCTTTTGGTTTTATCACCCAGGCCCCTTACATTCCAGGATAAAAACATCAATTCTTTATGGGAAACAGACAATACATATGGATAAAATAGGAAGGATAACTCAATCGTGGACAGATATAACGCCCCCTGAGGGGAGCAATGAGCGGTTAGGCAGTAGGAGGGACCCAAATCACATGGGTCAGGGTGATCAAGAGGACAGCCGCAAGAAGCAGGGAAGATAAACCCAGCAATATACACTCCACTAAAACACAGACATCCCAGGTGAACCATAAACAAAACAAGGGAGAATACTGAAATTATTATAATAATATTAACTGAAGGCTATGGCAGGTGGCCAAAAGGTCCCCTGAGGACCAAAAATAGGTTGGGGTTTGCAAAATGTCTCGTGGACAAGCACACAGCAGGTAAATGTAAGGAAAGCCCAAGAGGGGAGGAGCCCCAACTTAAACGGGAAGAAAAATCAGATACAAAAATGGAAGGAAATGTGAGAGCAATACCCCACTGTTCTGCTAAGCTGAGTTTAAGGCACTAAGGATCAACCAGGTCCCCAAGGTCAGGTTCCAGGGGAGTTTGCTAGGTGATGTTCCACTCCATCCAACCACTGCAAGGATTATCAAAAAAGTGAGAAGCATCATCCGCAAGCACGTAAAGTTTAGCCGGATATAGCATTACATATTGAAGGCCCAATGCCCGAAGACGTTTCTGGACATCCAGGAATTTTGCGTGCTGGTTTTGAATTTCCACGGAAAAATCTGGAAATAAGGATACTTGAACATTGTCAACTGACAGGTTACCCTTGCTTTTGGCCCTGGAGAGAACGGTATCTCTGTCCCAGTAATTGAGTACCGTATTTTCCGGAGTATAAGATGACTTTTTTAACTTAAAAACATACCCCAACAATTGGGGGTTGTCTTATACGCCGGGTATAGAACGCTGGATGTGCGGTAATACTGTATGGTAGCTTCAGCTACATACAGTGTACCGCGCTGAGCCAATCACGGCGAGCGATGTATTTTATTAATGAATACAGAGCCTGCTCGGATTGGCTGAAGTTGTGACATCATCAGCCCACCTCTCTGACACAGCCAATCCGAGAAGGCTCTGTATTCATTAAAAGAATACATCACTTGCCGTGATTGGCTCATATGACGTCCTCCCATTCTCCGCGCATGCGCGGCGATGCACTGTGTCCCTCGGACACAGCTATCACCGATCACGGAAAAGAGCCGAAGATGTCGGCTCGGTCATGTGATCAGCTGTGTCCAATCACAGCTGATCACATGTAAACAGGGAAATGCCGGTTATCGGCATTTCTCTCCTCTCGAGCTGTCACGCTGACAGCTCGAGGGGAGAGGAGAGCCGGTAATCGGCTTTCCGCGGAGGGGACATTTACACTGATCATCAGGGCACTGATGATCAGTGTGCCCTGATGATCAGTGTAGCCCCAGCAGTGCCAGCTGTCAATGTCCATCAGTGCCACATCAATGCCACATATCAGTGCCTACCAGTGCACATCAATGCCACATATCAGTGCCCATCTGAGCTGCCTTTCAGTGTCACCCATCAGTGCCAGTCAGTGCCACCTATCAGTGCTGCCAATCAGTGCCACCTATTAGTGCCAGTCAGTGCCGCCTATCAGTGCCTTGTATTAGTGCTGCCTTTCAGTACCCATCAGTGATGCCTGTCAATGCCCATCAGTGCTGACAATCAGTGCCACCTATCAGTGTGCATCAGTGCCGCCTATCAGTGGCAGTCAGTGCCACCTAACAGTGGCAGTCAGTGCCACCTAACAGTGCCAGTCAGTGCCGCCTATCATTGCTGCCTATCAGTGCCATGTATCAGTGCCATGTATCAGTGCTGCCTTTCAGTGCCCATCAGTGATGTCTGTCAATGCCCATCAGTGCCACCTACCAGTGCCTCCTCATCAGTGCCACCTATTTCATATGGGTACAGTGTTGCATGACCGCGCAATTGTCATTCAAAGTGTGACAGCGCTGAAAGCTGAAAATTGGCCTGGGGGGGGGAAGTGGGTATAGGTGCCCTGTAGGCTAGGGGTTAAATGGTGTTGCCTCAGAAGGGGGGTAGTCGTATACGATGAGTATAGCCCAAAACCTATGTTTTAACTGGAAAATTAGGGGGTCATCTTATACACCCAGTTGCCTTATACACCGGAAAATACGGTAGTCTGAATAAAAAGCGTCGTGGAGGAGAGCCGACCAAAGGAGCACGTGCTGGGACTCTGTGTGCACGATCTACTGCAAACACGGGGGAGAATGTATCACTGCCAAAAGTAGAGGTCAACCAAGCTTCAATAAAGGCTACATGATTTTTACCCTCAGCGTGCTCTGGGATACCCACTGCGCACACATTGTTGCAGCATAAACTATTTTCCAAATCTTCCAATCTAGAGGCATTAGTAGAAGTGATCGATTGCACATATCGCACGTTCCTATGTAATGGTTATCAATCATCTTCCAGGGTACTCACTCTCCCTCCAAGGCTGCAGTGCGATCCCGCAGTTTCTGCATATCTTGATGCACCAGGGTCAATTCCATCCTCATTTCCTTCATCTCCCCGGTAAGAACCACTACAGATGAGGTGCATGTAGTGACTGCGGAGAGAACTTCTCTAAGGGTGGGTTCAGGATGATCTGCAATGGAAACAGCAGGCTGTGTCCCATGAGACTGAGATGGAGGGATACTCACTGCAGGACTGCAGGATGGGATTTCTCGGTCTGCCAGTGCAAGAGGGATCTGTGTACAACCTGCACAGTCTAAGTCTGGATCAGTAGCAGAGTCCAAAAGTTGTTTCTGAGAAGTTTCCCTGGTGAATGGCCAGGCAAAGAGCTTTTGAGCAGCCTCCCTCTGCTTCTCCTTGGATACACGGATCGGGTACCGCCATCTTGCCCAGCCAACTCGGGCAAGGCCCCGAACTTCTGTCCCCCTTTTTGCCACCTTGATTCAGGATAATCAGGGCACCAAGTGACAGCAGGGGGGTTGGAGCACACCCTGGGGACCTGAGATGCATTTGTAGCTGGAGAACGAGGTGCCAATCAGGATAATTAACAGGATGCAGAGCGGAGCTCACGTCCTACTGAATGCAAAGCTGGCCAAGCTCACGGATTAATAGGTTAAATAATCTTCATCCATGGTCTAATTAGAAACAATGATCTCTATTTATTATTGTGAGTGGCCTGATGATATGTTGTAAATATTGTAGTATTTTCTGTTTTATTATTAGTATTATTTTAAGGAGTTTGATCTATCCTCTACAGCTGGATGATGAACATTTACCAATATATTAGGATGTTGTAACTTTGAATTAAGTTTTTGATATGTGGGGGTCAAAACATGTTTTCTTTGTTTTGTGCTTTTTTCCTTTACTTTTTTTTACTTGTTGTTTCTTTGAAAATACCAATTGATTTATTATATAAATAATGATATGGGATGCACGTGAGGAGTTAAGCTCTGTGGGGTTTATTTACTAAAGTTGGAGAGTGCAAAATCAGGCTCACTTCTGAATGGAAACAAATCACCTTCTAACCTCAATTTATTCAATTCAGCTTTGGCAATAAAACATGGAAGTTGATTTGTCTCTATGCAGAAGTGAGCCTGATTTTACACTCTCTGAGCTAATTCACACATGTGTAGTGGAGTTGAAGCTCAGCTTTCACAGCTAACTGAAACAGTAATTGTTAAGCGGTTCATGTCAGGTTTACATCAGGTTCATGACAGGATTAGCTCAGGATTAGCTCAGGATCTTATGCTGTTCACACATATGCATTTTAGAATCAGTTCCCATAGTAGTCAATAGCCTGTAATCCGCACCTGAACTAGACCGCACTGCTCAGAAATCGTACATGACTTTTTCAAACCGCACTGAATCCACACCGCCAGTGCACTGGACATATGTGAACAGGCATCATAGGAAGCTATATTTTTTCACATGTCATACGGAGTGGATGTGAGTCAAACTGCATCCAATCCACAAATATGTGAACTGGTACTCCAGCTTTAATAAATAAACCCCTGTGTGTCTGAATGACTCAGACTGATGGATTTGGTAAAATGCCTATTTAGTTTCCTATTGAATATATATATATATATATATATATATATATATATATATATATATACGCTATTTCTATAAGTTTTATAAATATTTACTTTTAAACTTTAATACATATGTTGTGTGAATATTTTCTGCCTGCTGGGCTTTGTGGTACTATAAGAAATCCTTGCTTAAGAAATGTCTGCTCACACACACAGACCCCCTCCCACCGTGTGATTTGGGAAACAAAGGAATGTTTTTCTTCTCTATAAGATAAGATGTAAGAAGATCACACCTATACCATGACGGAGATTGTTTTCATGTGGAAATGACCAATCAAAGACTAATATAATGCTTATGCTGTTGTCACATGACTCTTGCATCATTCTGCATATATAAGTTCACTTTCTCATTATAATAAATTAGAAGCATTCATAGACTGAACTTGTGTGTCAGCGTGAGTTTCTTCCAGTGTGCGCACATTCCAAAGCTAGCGTCATAAATTAGGACAGGAACAGATAAGCACCGGACATTTTTATAGTCCTCTACTAAAACAGCTGATGCCGAAATCTCTGGGTAATGAACCTGCAGCCAGCCGACCTGAAAGGGCATTAGGTGTCAGTCAAACCGGACGGGACAGAGAGCTTGATCACCTCTCGGAGCATGGTAAGATATATTTTGTTATCTTACCATTGCTTATCCTGTCTTTGTTGTTGATTCATACCTGTGCCTAGTACGGCTGCTAAAGGTCACTAAAGGCAGGTAACTTTGCTTGCCTGGAGTTTATTTCAACCTTACCTG